ACTACAAAGTTATATGATAATATGGGTACCTATTTTATTTTGGATCACGCATGTATCAGACTTGACTTGTTGCTTTTAAATATAATTGCACATTTTACTTACAGGCCATAAACTAAAAATAAACCGTTTCTTTTTGTATTTGACAAGTGCAAGTAATTTTGGTTGGCAAACTATATGTATTTGTTTTTAAACTATAGGTACCTACCTAGGAAGGTGTTTTCAACAAAGATACCTATCTGATAATAATAAATTAAGTTTTTAAAAATGTTCAAATGTCCCATAAATATATTTCCTGAATTAATGCGAACACGTTTAAGGTTCTGCTGAAAAATTGCTTGTTTTGACTTATCCTTTTATGACTTACCCACAGACTTGGTGTATTTTATTAATGCCGTGCATTAATATTTACACTGAACTTCAGTGACTGAAGTATTTTTTGTTCCTATTTTTGTCCGCTCATATATTATATGTTTTGTTTATTGTTAATTTTATATTGTGTGTTTTCAATGTTTTTTGTAAATACGTATTTACAACAAAACAAGTGTACACTTGTTTTGTTCAAATAAAAAATATTGGAATAAACGTTTTTTAATTTAATTTTCCCGACCAAATATCAAGTAAATTGTTTTCTTCATGTAAGTAAATATTTTGAAGTATTTTTTGTTCCTATTTTTGTCCGCTCATATATTATATGTTTTGTTTATTGTTAATTTTATATTGTGTGTTTTCAATGTTTTTTGTAAATACGTATTTACAACAAAACAAGTGTACACTTGTTTTGTTCAAATAAAAAATATTGGAATAAACGTTTTTTAATTTAATTTTCCCGACCAAATATCAAGTAAATTGTTTTCTTCATGTAAGTAAATATTTTGTTTCTTTAAGAAAGCTTCACATTTAATTTAAAAAAATGAATTACTTACTTCAAGTACTTAAATGTTTTGTTTCTTTAAGTAAGATTCTACTAAACCTGAGATAAAAAGTCAACTAAATATTTACTTGTATTAAACAAACCATCAGTTTAAAAAGTCAAATAAACACAAGTTTTCCACTAAATAAATATTTTCTTGTGTCATATCGAAATAAATAATTTATTTGAGTCAAGACAGATATAGTAAAATCAAGAGATTACTTTTCTCTGTGTATATTTTTTTACTACCTAAAATTTACTATACATTTCTCTTCGTGTGTATGTTATTTTTGTGTTCGTTTATGCAGGTATGTATGTGTTAATGTTTTTGTTTGCAAAATTGATTAACAAAGCAACATTTCTTATCAAAATTCTTTACATTTAAGTTCCTAATTTAAAAAAAATACTTTTGATACTGGGTCTACAAAAAGGATTGTAAAAAAGGTCATTTTTGAAAATTACAAGAATTATGGTTGAATTATGGATATATACAGGGTGTCCCGAAATTAGGGGGCCAAACTTAAACAGTGCATTCTTTATAGAAAAATAACACTTTTTTGTTTAATAAACATATATAAAAAAATGACCCCTAACGGAGCTACGCCCCCCTAAATAGGAGCTTAAGAACATCATTTTTTTTAAACTATTCCTAGAGGGTTGAACATGAAGACCTGAATTTTTGGGACTTTGGTAATTTTGACATTCTGAATCTGGATCTATAATCAAAACTGTTAAATTTTAATCATAGGCGTAACATTTGAGGGGGAAAATTTACAAAAACATCCCCAACTTTTTCCGGAGTGAGTATTTTAATGTTTTGTTATAAAATTATGAAAACTTACGAAAAATAGGTACTCTTGCTTTGAATCGCTCAGATGCACCATTTTCGAGAAAATTGCAATTTAAATTACTATGCTTAGCATAATTTCTAAAATTTTCATTAAAAAGCTTTGGGACAAAAGTGACGTTTGGGTTATTTGCTGACTTTACATTTATTTTTATAGTTTATTTAATATTTTTTGGCTCGATTTTTGTTATTTTTTATTATGGAGCGATTTTCCAAATTTTAACGCAAAATTTTAACGAAAATATGAGATGTGTATGCTATGCAGAGTAATTTATAAATGCATTTTTCTCGAAAATGGTGCATCTGAGCGATTCAAATTAAGACTACCTATTTTTCGTAAAAAACTATGAGTTTTCATAATTTCATAAAAAAAAATAAAATATTATCTCGGAAAAAAGTTGGGGCTATTTTTATAACTTTCCCTCCCCAAATGTTACGCCTATGATTAAATTTTAACAGTTTTGATCCTAGATCTTGATTCAGCATCTAAAAATTACCAAAGTGCCAAAATTTCAATTCTTCATGTTTAACGCTCTAGGAATAGTTTTAAAAAAACTATTCTCTTAGGCTCCTATTCAGGGGGCCGTAGCTCCGTTACGGGGAATTTTTTGATAGGATGTTTATTTAACAAAAAATTGTTACTTTTCTATGAAGAATGCACTATTTAAGTTTGGCTCCCTAATTTCGGGACACCCTGTATATAGCATTTTGTTATTAAATCTACAAAATGTTTGTAATTATTACAAACTACTTATTCAATTAGTTAACAGATTAAAGTTGGCTGTAAACTTAACATAAAGTTACGTGGACCTGGATTAACATAGAATCAGCTTAAAATTAACAAAAAAAATTTTACCGTGTAGGGAATCTTCATTGGGTAAACAAGGGGACGATGAACAAGACGTCTGGGCAAACATTTTTTATGTACAGCTACATACAAGAACATTAGTTAAAAGAGGACGCGTGGCTTTCGTTCGAGCGCATCGCTTCGACAGTTGCGGCTGCAGATGGCGCGCTCATCTGATCCTTCGCCTGGCCAACAAAACGCCAGTTATCCTTGCGTCGCGTTCCTCGACGTCTGGACGTGTTTTCTGCCACGCTAGGTAGCGCGAACCGCGCGCCAACTTTGACCCGAAGAATTTTCGTCCGTTGCTTGTTCGAAGTGTGCGAGTCGCGAGTGCCGCTCGAAGAATATCGCATTAACACTTCGTTGTTACAGTTTTTCGTGTGAAAAATGTGAATTGTTTTAAAATATAGAAGAATATAAAGTTTTCTGTGGATATTATCTTTCATAATGATACTTTCCTCCCAGGCCATCTACTTTATTTGCCTACTTTTAAGTACAGGTACATGTTTTTGTCTGATTTATGTGCCTACTGTTTTAAACATATTTTAACATTTCGTATTTCTTGTTTTATTTTGATGTTTTAAAAATTTATAAATACTTAAGCAAAATATAAGATACAAAAACATAATATAGTTTATTTGTTATCAACATTTTATTTTTTAATTGCTATATTTAAAGATATAAAATAAATATGAAATATTAAAAACATGTTTTTATTTTACAATGATAACATTTTTTATACAGGAATAAAATACCTTGCGTTAAAGGACTTACCAAAGAATAAGCATTCCTAAAAATATTTATTTGTAAAACAATTATATCATTTATTTTTTACCGGGTAATTGAAAACTGCACATTAATAAAATCTTTACAAAAAAAATATTTGTTAATTTTAACCAAATTTTAACCAGATTTTATGTTGATCGAGGTCCTCATAATTTTTGTAGATTTAATTTAAAAAAATCCTATATCAATAATTCAACCATAACTCTTGTAATTTTCAAAAAGGACCTTATTTTTACAAAACAAAAGTATTTGTTGGAAATTGGGAACAAAAAAATGAACAAATACCTACAAAAATTAACACAAAAATAACATACACACAATTAAATAACAAACCATCCTGAAATCACCAAATTATAGAAGAATTATAGAAGAAGAAATTTTGTACACTGAAAGAACAGTTTATTTACAATTAATGATGTTGTTTAACAATAAATAAAGGATTTATTCGATAATGTCGGAAAAAAATATTTGTTATTTTAAATATTAAAAACAAATAATTTATTAGTATTACTTTAATATACTTTTTTGTGGTAAATAAATATTTATTTATTATAAACAAATACTTTATCTGTGAGAAATAAAATTGCATTAAAAACAACCAAAGCCTTATTTATTATAAATATGCCATTTTATTAAGTAGTTAATAATTTATTAAAAATATACAAACAGAATTTTTTTAAAAACAAATTGTTATTTAAAGTGACAAACATCTTATTTATTATAAATAAACTAAATTGAGTATAAATAACCCGGGAAGTAATTATTAACATTAATATATTTAATTTTAATTTTGAGTTATTTTTTAAAAATTAGTTTATTTATAATTAACAAATTTTATTATTAATAATTAATAATTGCCTATAACTGTATTTTGGAAAAATATGTTTATATTTGCAATAAATATGGCATATCATTGTCAATCTCACAAAGGGATAATTATAATTATAATTTTACAAGAGAGCATATAGGTTTTAAAACTTACTGCGGGTTAAAAATATACTATAGTATAAAATAAACTTATAAAATTATTATTGTTTATATCTGTAATTTTATATGTTAATCGAAGTATATTGTTAAACCGAATATTGCAGTAATTTTCAAAATGCTCTTCTGTAAAATTATAAAAATGGGATTGTAAGATTGGCGACTATAAGTATGCTAAATGTATTGTAAATATATGTATACATATTTAATACAAATACAGTTCTGTCTTAATTATTGACCATTAATCATAAAATTTGTTAACCTGAATATTGCAAAAAGCTTCTCCTGTAAAATTATAAAAAATCTCTAAAATTATAAGACACTTTGTGAGGTTGACGACGATATGTTGATATAAAATGTGTTTCAGTTTGGGTGATTTTTTAAATAAAATACTTGTTTTTTAAGATGATTTATATATTATTATTATTATTATATAAATATTTTATAAAATCCAATATTTTTTAAACTTGTGAATTATATTCATAGACCTATTATTTAAAAAACATAAATAAACTTAAAAAATAAAGATATAGTATAATAATAATATAACCTTTAAAACTATATTCATAGCATCGTCACAGGCGATATCTGCTAATACTTTAAAAGAATCTACACCATTATCTGAAAAAATGTGAATTGTTTTAAAATATAGAAGAATATAAAGTTTTCTGTGGATATTATCTTTCATAATGATACTTTCCTCCCAGGCCATCTACTTTATTTGCCTACTTTTAAGTACAGGTACATGTTTTTGTCTGATTTATGTGCCTACTGTTTTAAACATATTTTAACATTTCGTATTTCTTGTTTTATTTTAATGTTTTAAAAATTTTTAAATACTTAAGCAAAATACAAAAACATAATATAGTTTATTTGTTATCAACATTTTATTTTTTAATTGCTATATTTAAAGATATAAAATAAATATGAAATATTAAAAACATGTTTTTATTTTACAATGATAAAATTTTTTATACAGGAATAAAATACCTTGCGTTAAAGACCAAAGAATAAGCATTCCTAAAAATATTTATTGGTAAAACAATTATATCATTTATTTTATACCGGGTAATTGAAAACTGCACATTAATAAAATCTTTACAAAAAAAATATTTGTTAATTTTAACCAAATTTTAACCAGATTTTATGTTGATCCAGGTCCTCATAATTTTTGTAGATTTAATTTTAAAAAAATCCTATATCAATAATTCAACCATAACTCTTGTAATTTTCAAAAAGGACCTTATTTTTACAAAACATAAGTATTTGTTGGAAATTGGGAACAAAAAAATGAACTCATACCTACAAAAATTAACACAAAAATAACATATACACAATTAAATAACAAACCATTCTGAAATCATCAAATTATAAAGAAATTTAGTACGACAGGTTTGCCACTCATCTGGAAAACCTGGAAATGTCAGGGAATTTAAATTTTTTAGAAATGTCAGGGAAATGCCTGCAGGGAATCGGCAAAAAAATCTACAAAGTCAAGGAATTCCTGAGTCGGTCAGGGAATTGGTTATTTATAAATAAAACTGGTCAACAAAATGTATTCAAAATATGGCAGCGCTATATGTCAAACTTATCACTATAAACCTTCTAAGACTATAACCAACTATTTTTATGTTTAGGGTGATATATTTAATTTAATATTTGTTTATTTTATAAATGGTAAGCATAATTAATAAACTAATTAATTAATCAGTAGGTAAAAGACTTTGAAAAATCATAGTTCCTGTTGATAAAAAGTGCGGGCCATTAAAAAAGGATTTCGGCAACGAAGAACACAAATTTCTCAAATTTTCTTAAAAAAAAAACAGATGGAAAATACTACTCTCTAAAAATGAATTAGTTAAAAATGACTAATTGTCATAGCGAAAAAGCAGCCACTAATAATTCTAGTCAACAGCAATTTGTATCCCGGATATATAGCAGTCAATGTAAAATTCTCTGCTGAATCCGAATATGTCGTCAAAAGTTATAAAAGTAGGACAGTTTTAAAGATTTATTCAATTTTCCATATAATATAAAATTGACTAGGTATATCAAAAACTGCTATGACGGCATGCTTTTTCAATATGAAATTTGTCATTTTTGACTAATTCTTTTTTAGAGAGTATGCTTGAAAAAATTTTACATGATAATAATATTAATAATAATATTGCTTTAGAAAATAATCAGAATAAATCAATTTCTTCAATAAAAACTCCTGCAAAAAATGATAGAAGAAATAAAATCTTTTTTTCTTCAAATATTTACTAATAAGAACTCATCAACTTAATAAACAAGACCTGCCGCAGACAAAATTTCAGAGGCATTTTTAAAGATTTCATTATTTCTGTTATTTTTAGATTGAACAGAAAATTAATGTAATAAAAACCCATGAAACAAAAACCTATTGTTGTTTTTATTTTTGAATTTTATAAATTTCAATAAAAGTTTAGTTTTCTAATTAATCGTTATAATTCTCCACCAAGAGAAAAAGTCATTGAGGGTCAGGAAACTAAAAGAAAAAAAGAAAAATATCAGGGAAGGTCAGGAAATTTGGTTTGGACAAATCGGTGGCAACCCTGTACAATATAGTTATTAGTACTACTACAACACTTACTGATGTATTTTGTTACTTTAAAACACTTCACTGTATCCCCCAATTTCAGTTTGTAAACCAGTAATATCATCTTTTTTCGGATACTTCGCACTTCGCACACTCGTTAAATAGGTATAAGGAATCCGAATAACAATAATCTAACAGATTTCTGGTAATATATTATAAAGTTGTTACGAACACTTTACGAATTATAATAAAGTAAGCAGAAACATAAGTTGCCGACGCTTAAGTCAGTTCAACTGGTTAATGCGAAGAGAGGCAAATGTTTTGATTGACTGAAATCACTTGTACTTTTTAACGAAATGATTTGTTAAACATTAACAAAATTATCTGTAACCATTGAAATTAACAAAATGCTTACAAAATTGCATATTACATTTACAAAACTTTCGTAAAAGTATTTTCCTTTGTTAAAATAATTACAAACCCTGGTTTTCTACAGAAATTATGTAAAAATGTTACAAAATAAAATTAACAAACTACAAACTTATGTTAACAAATCTGATTTTTATAACATTGTACCTATTTAAAGACATAATAAAATTACCTTGAATGGTCTAAAAAATGTAATCTTTTGACAAATTTAAAAAAACAATTAAGCAAATATATACAAACTATATATTCTTAAAACCGGAAAAAAACTCCAATTAAATATTCAAAAATATACAGGGTTTATCATTGAAAAAAACAATGTCAATGCTATTTTATTAAATTTACCGATGCTTTTTTGTTTTTGAATGCATGTCAAAAAAATTACTTTTTTAAACCATGCAAACTGGATTTTAAATTTTTTCTAAATCTCTTCTATTAAAAATTTTATAGGAAAACACCATGTACATATGTTTTTATTACTTAAAATAATCTTATTTTTTAACAATCTCTTCAAGTTTCCCTAACATTGGGTTTTAGTGAAAGCATGACCGGTTAGCGCATATTCTTAAATTCAGTTTTTTACCGCCTAGTTAGGCTGTAAACTTTTTTAAACATTATTATTATAATTGTACGAACATTTTGTCTTAAGGATACAACTTTCTTCTCAGCCTGAAGACATAAATAACCATTAATTTTTGAAACAATATTAAGATATTGTGTGTTAATCGTTTTATGTAAATATTATAAAAAAATATAATTTAACTTTAAAAACCTCAAAGACTACTTCATTTTGATTATTTTTTACCGGTAAAAGGCCATTTTCGGAACTCCCTGTACATATTTTAGGACCGACATTTATCTGAAATTGTCCCATATACCCAGTATACTCTCTAAAAATGAATTAGTTAAAAATGAATAATTTAATAGTTATTAGTAGCTGCTTTTTCACTTATACCATGGTTAACCATGGAATACTATGGTATCCCATAATTTAACAGCCAATTCTTATGTAAACTTTCCCCTGAATCCGAAAATACCGTCAAAAGTTAAAAAAATATAACAGTTTTTGAGATATAGTTAATTTTCAATTTAATATGGAATTGACTATATCCTAAAAACTGCTCCACTTTCATAATTTTTGACGGTATTTTCAGATTCAGGGGACAATTTTACACAAGAATTGGCTGTTAAATTATGGGATACCATGGTATTACATGGTTAACCATGGTAGAAGTGAAAAAGCAGCCACTAATAACTATTAAATTAGTAATTTTTGACTAATTCATTTTTAGTACCCATTATATACCTATTACAATAATAAACCATAACTACTATAGTATAATATATTGTGTGGTCATTTCATTTTTTGTGCAATTAAATTTTTGTATCCAACCGTTTTAATTTTGTTAGTTTAAATGAGCAATACAATACATGGTGTTAAATTTTTTAGGCCAGTCCTTCGAACTTTGTTCATAAAAATTCATAAACTTCATTATGTTTTGATATTTTTTTGGTCTTATGAATTGTTTGAAAATTTACGCCCTAAAAGCCAACGCAATAACGATATCTGTGTGAAAAAAGATATTGGTTTCGCGTTTGGAGCGAAAGCCTTTTAATTTTTTAATTAAATGATTTTGTAATGGAATTTATAGCACATTTTTAGGAAAAAATCTAATTTACATTTTTATTTATTTTCTAATTAAAAAAATTACTGTTAAAACGAGGTTTCGGTCCTTTGTTAGTGACGTCACTTAATCAAATGAAAAAGCGAAAGAATAAATTGGGCGAAAATTGAATTTATGTGGCCTTAAAGACTTTCTTTAAATCTAAAGAGTTTTATATACTCGTAAATAAAAGCAATTAAAAAGAAGCATTTATATTTTATAGTTGGTTAATTATAAGGGTTTAAGGACATTTAATCATATTTCTTGTGCAAAAAAAACAACAATAAATCTTAAGAAAAATAGATTTTATACCCATTTTTGTGGCACCTTGTATAAATATATTTTAAAATTCTGTTAAAATTTAGGCAGTATTATAATTCCCTCTTTCTTATACAATCTGTAGCGTGTATACAATGAAACCACAAATGCATTTCAAACCCTGACATTTTGTCATTTTTTTATATTTTCCAACGATAATAAATTATAAATTATAATATTAGAAAGAATGATAAAAACTTAAAAAGTTTATTTTAATCGCATATCATAAAAAACAGCACAGTCAAACACTCATTATTTACGCTACGTCCGACCGCAATCTGCTACATTTAAAAGCATCCCATAACAAATTAAAGGCACGCATTTATACACCGAAAAAAATAATGTAGTTGAGTTAACATTTGCCTAAATGTCATTTTTAAAAATGTTGTTTCAACAAAAAACCTATTGGATTAATCTATATTTTGGTGTTAAAGCAAAAGTCAGACTTTGTCAAAGTTTATTTGTTCATTTGACAGTTTAAATATTAATTTAACATAAACTAATATTTTGAATTAAAATGTTTATCGTACTTTGATTTAATAGCTGGAATTTGTTGAATCAACTACTGAAATTTTTAGGATTACCTAAAAAAACTATTAAATTAACGTTTAGTTGCTCTTTAATCCAAAACTATAAATTTGTTCATTTAACAAATTTAAAATGTTACTTTAAAATTTAAAATGTAAAATTTGCATTCATAAAATTGCCGAGAATGGCGCTTCGAACACTCACGCCACGTCATTAGACAATGACGTTTTCTTACATCTCGCCTT